TTCCACTGCTAGTTTTAGGGTTTGAATTTTGAATTTAACACTTGAGTTTGGAAAGGGTATAAGAAGGAGTGGAAGGTAGAGAGAGAGAGAGAGAGAGAGAGAGGAGAGAGGGGGGGAGGAGTGGTCCACAAAAATAGAAGATGCGTTTTAGATGCTTCGGTGGTAATAATCTTTGGCTAATTGGCATTCCTTTGATAAACTCGGTCTAGCCAAAAGTCATAGTTGCAAGCTAATGCTACGTTGCCTGTTCAAAGTAGCAAGGATTCTTATTTCAGCCCTCCAAGCTCAAAAGTTCTGTAATTTAGGGCCATAATCAAATTGCATCCATCATCTATTTGCTGACTAGTCAATAAGAGTCTTTATTCTCAAATGCATGTTTGAAAGGATTACAAGGATATTATACAGACACCAAAAAGTAAAGTGATAGGAATTTAAAGGATTACAAGGATACCATCATTATTGGTAGCTTGATGAATTGACCAACAAAACCAAATCCAAAACTAATCAGATTACCTCAGCGGGGATTAGAATCCCCTGCCAATTAATTCTATAATAAAACAAGTCATAGTCCACTAAACTTACTAACTGGATAATGTTTGTGAACTTGCTCCAACATGCTTCTTTGTCCTGAACGGTCTGTTGGCTTTGGGAACACCTCTGGACATTTTTCACGGATATTGAAGGAAAGAAATTACAAGATTGGGGGTGTCAAACTTGAAAAAAATGATCCTTTGGGAAAATTAATTTACTTTAGTTGTATCTCTATTTGTTTCCTTAAAGTCCACTATCGTTGCATTTCAAACCTTAATCAGCGCTACAACTTGTTAGTATGTGCTATATCATCTAAAATATATACAATTTTAGAATTTTATTTAACAATTCATGATGATACTCATATATTCGCAGAGAAACTAACAAAAAAAATCCATTGTGGTTTCTTTATTTCTTGTTGCTGTACCAGACTCCCCTCGAAGACCGCATTTTGCTAGGCTGGATGCATTGTAAATTTGGAGAAAGAAGCTGTAACTTTGTCTCCGTTGTGATCTATGTTGCTGTCTGAAAAGTTGTGCAAGCTCAAGTGTTATATATATCATTAGGGGTGCATTCGAACCGATTCGAGTTCGAGTAGTGTCAGGCTCGAAATTGAACTCAATCATTGTTAGTGCTATTTGAGTTCAAGCTCAAACTCAAATGAGTAAAGATTCTTAAGTTCAAATTCGACTCAACCAAATAGTATATAAGTTCAAGCTCGATTCAATTGAGTTCACAGATCCTTCTGAGCCATTCGAACTTGAACTGAATTTTTTAGTGGAAAATTTCACAACTTCTATACTTATAAGTGTAACACACGCACATATATATTACTTTTAAATTTTAAAAACCTAATTTCTTGAATAAGTTCGTCGAGCATTTGAGCCTCATTCTCTAAGGCTTGTGCTCAACTCGATTTGACAAAATGAGTTACTCAAACTCGAGTCAAACCATTGATCGAACTGCCCCCGAGTAGCTCACTTGTAGCTTGAATCTCTAGCAGACTACATATGATTGAGAAAATTGACGGTTTGTGATTCTATTGGGACAAAGACTTAAAAGGATAAGGCTACGTAAACCGTATGAAAAGTTCTTTTGTAGCTGCTGTTTTATTGACCCCATATATCATAAATTAAATTAGACTTGAAAGACTTGTAGGGGTCATCCACTCTTTTCTGTGGCGTCCTTTTGTCACACCATATTAGATGCTTGTAGACTGAAGGAATCTGTCCTAATTTCTTATTCTGGAGTCTTGTGCTTGAAAGAGAGTTAAGTGAAAGCTTTTGAGGTTAGCTCAAATCGTCATTGAACAAAAATTGTAATGTCACTTCTCTTATGAAGTTATTGGGGATTTTGTATTCTTAATTTCTTAGTACACATATATATTTGGCTATTAGATGTAAAAGCATGGGGTTAAAAAGAAGGAAAAGAAAAAGGCTCCATCAGCCCATTTGTGTTCATGATAAATTGGCAGATGTGGGATCATATTGATGATGGTATTAAGGTGTAAGATCTATTAAATATCTTCAACCGATTGTTTTAGAAGTATTGTCAGTTGTAATTCCGCAGTTGATAAAACTTGGACATTTCACCTAGAAAGACGCCTGGATTGGATTCACTAGCTCAGATTTCAGCCTAATTTCCAAATATGATACACATCCAAAATGGATAAATTAAGCGGTCCATTTAGTGAAAGACTCAGACAACTTTCATGGCATTCGCGGATGGCTGACTTTTCTAAATCCGAATCTAGCGCTTTCAACTGAACGAAACTTGTGCGGTCTTTGTTAAAATGAAGGTACCAATAATTGCTGAAGTGGGGCTGGGATTATTCTATTTATCATTAGTTACTTGAATCTTGGATCTCACAGTTGAGATTGGAAAGGATATGGAGCAGGGTGGGAGGTGAGGGAGAGAGAGAGAGGTGGGGGACGGCGATATTTTGGTGGTAGTCTTTGGCTAATTGGCATTCCTATGATAAACTCGGTCTGGCCAAAAGTCGTCGTTGCAAGCTAATGCTACCAAAAGTCATTGTTGCAAGCTAACGCTACATTGGCGTCCAAAGCAGCAAGAACTCCTAATTAAGTCCTCCAAGCTCAAAAATTCTGTAATTTGGGGCCATAATCAAATTGCATCGATCATCTATTTGCTGACTAGTCAATAAAAGTCTTTATTCTTGAAAGGAGTACAAGATATGATACAGATATTAAACAGACACCAAAAAGTTAAGTGATAAGTATTTAAGTGAATACTAGTATTTTGACTGTGGTGCTTTTCTAAATCCAAATCTAGCGCTTTCTACTGAATGAAACTTGTGCGGTCTCTGCAAAAATGAAGGTACCAATAATCGCTAAAGTAGGGCTGGGATCATTCTATTTTTCATTGGTTACTTAAAAAAAAAAAGATTTGAAGTTTGGAGTTTCGACTAGGATGGTTGTCCACTTTCCACTGCTTGTTTGTTTTAGACGTTTTATCTACTGTAATTCCTCAGTTGATAAAACTTGGACATTTCACTTAAAAAGACGATTGGATTCAATTCACTAGCACAAATTTTGGTCTAATTTCCAAGGATGATATACCTCATAAATGGATAAATTAAGTGGTCCATTTAGTGAAAAACTCGGACAGCTTTCATGACGTTCGTGTATGGATGACTTTTCTAAATCCAAATCTAGCGCTTTCAACTGAATGAAACTTGTGTGGTCTCTGTAAAAATGAAGGTACCAATAATCGCTAAAGTGGGGCTTGGATCATTCTATTTTTCATTGGTTACTTAAAAAAAAAAGGAATTGAAGTTTGAAGTTTCGACTAGAGGATGGTTCTCCACTTTCCACTGCTAGTTTTAGGGTTTGAATTTTGAATTTAACACTTGAGTTTGGAAAGGGTATAAGAAGGAGTGGAAGGTAAGAGAGAGAGAGAGAGAGAGAGAGGAGAGAGGGGGGGAGGAGTGGTCCACAAAAATAGAAGATGCGTTTTAGATGCTTCGGTGGTAATAATCTTTGGCTAATTGGCATTCCTTTGATAAACTCGGTCTAGCCAAAAGTCATAGTTGCAAGCTAATGCTACGTTGCCTGTTCAAAGTAGCAAGGATTCTTATTTCAGCCCTCCAAGCTCAAAAGTTCTGTAATTTAGGGCCATAATCAAATTGCATCCATCATCTATTTGCTGACTAGTCAATAAGAGTCTTTATTCTCAAATGCATGTTTGAAAGGATTACAAGGATATTATACAGACACCAAAAAGTAAAGTGATAGGAATTTAAAGGATTACAAGGATACCATCATTATTGGTAGCTTGATGAATTGACCAACAAAACCAAATCCAAAACTAATCAGATTACCTCAGCGGGGATTAGAATCCCCTGCCAATTAATTCTATAATAAAACAAGTCATAGTCCACTAAACTTACTAACTGGATAATGTTTGTGAACTTGCTCCAACATTAGGTGTACTTATGACGGACCAAACTATTATTCGTTCGCTCGATTATTAAACGAACACAAAAATTCGTTCGTGTTCGGTTCGTTTAAGGCTTTCGAACGAGCCTTTAACGAACACGAACGAGCCGAAACGAACCGAACTAACGAACAGCTCGGTTCGTTTAACAGCTCTATTCAAATGGAGAGACTTGCAAGCTGGTATGAAAATTAGTATTGTACCAGAGTTCAGCTGTTGGTAACCAGCTGCTCCAGTGTGTGGGATGTTCACTGCACATGCTTCTGAGGTAGTTCTCCAAGCATTGGTTCACCCTCTCACTTTGCCCATCAGATTGATGGTGATAAGAAGAACTATAATGTAGGCTTATTCCCAACTTATTGAACAGTTCTTGCCAGAATCTGCTGATGAAAATCTTATCTCTATCAGAAATAATGGACTCTAGTAAGCCATGCAACTTGTAAACATTGTCAAGGATGTGAGGACTCATATTTTAATTATTGCAAAATATTCTTAAATTGGTCATTTAAAAGTATTTTTGCATGTGAGTTACTCAAGTTTTCCCAAATTGCATGAATTTCTTGAAAATGAGTCTAAACAATTGGTTCTTTAAACAATTATTATTTTAATGACCAAATTTATTCGAGTTGAATTGTTTATGGTGATTTTGATTGTTATATATACTTGAATTATCATATTTTAAAGTTTTAGAGTCGAATAAGTTGAAGTTTCAAAGTTCGAGCGAGAATTCCTTAAGTTCGACTCTTGTGCGCCTGCGTGCCGAAATGGCCCCGACAGGCGCATTAATCTGTTTAATTGGAGATTTAAGAATTTGATATTAGACTACTAAGAATGACTATTAATGCACTAGAGGAATTACCTCGGAGGTTTAGTATACAAAAGTAGCAAACGAGCACGAAAAGTGGTCGCGCAAAACCCTATTCGGGCCTAGCGAGGTTTGACCTTGAAAACTTAGCCTTTAAGCTTCCTTTTCTCCCCAAAAACACACTTAAAAAATTCTGAAACAATCTCTCTCATCTTTCTCTCTCTAAATTCGGCCCTCACAAGTAAAAAAATAAAGGAAGAAGAGCTCTCCAATTTTTCTGCTCAAACCTTGCACCTAATCCATCAAAGTTCCTCATCAACTTGTGGGTTTTCATCCTAGCTAAGTGGAGGAGCTGATTTTGTGGCTTTGAGGGTGGATTGGGTGGTTGATGGTGGTGAAATTTGGGAAGGAAAATTCTGATTTTGTTAGGTTTCATAGCTCCAAGAGGTAACACACAAAATCCTTGCTTTCTTGGTTCATTTGTAGCTCTGAAGAATTGTTGTTATTAGTTGAATTTGGTTGGTTGATGTGGGTTTTATGAACTCCCACCATTGTTGTTTGAGGGCTGTTAAGATGTTAATGTGTGTGTGAGTGTGATTTTGATGAGTTATAATGGTAGAAACTAGAAGAGGAAGAGAAAAGAGGGAAATTGAGAGAAAGGAGGACTACTGACCGAAATTCTTGACCTTGTTATTCTGTTTTTCTGCCCATATTTTCGTGCCTTTTTTTCAGTCCATTTGAGTGCTGATATGTTGAGCTTTAAGTGTACAAAATTTCAGCCAAAAACCCTTTGATTTGGTACACCAAAATTGCACGCAAAGTTTGGTCACAACCCTGGAAAATTTCTGACTTACTGCCCGACTTCTTGTTTGCTGCTGCCCTGTAATTTCGAAAATTTTCTGGTGCTAATTGAGCTTCCAAATTGATGTAGATATGTTGTTCTGTGTGTATTGTGGTTGTCTACCAAAAATCAACCCAAATGGTTGGTTAAATTTTGAGTTACAAGTAAAGAAGCAAACTGGAACAAGCTCCAGAATTTTCTGACCAGCAACATTTGTGTAGATATAACATTTTGTTCGTTGATCAAAATCGAGTGCTACTTGTGGAATTTGAAACTAGACTCTTATAGCTTTAAAATGGTACTAAGCTCATTTTCTAGTTCATCCCGAGTGATCCGTGGTGAGTCTTGAAAGTTTGCTAATTGACAGCCACTGTTCACCCGAGGACAGTCCAGAAATTGCAACTTGTTGCTGATTTTTGAACCACTTGGGTTTGGATATTGAAAACAATTTCTTCTGTATAAATGTAACCTTGTGAATCTAGTTTTCAATGCCACCAACCATTCCTGATTTGAGTAAATATAGAGCCAGATATGGCCTTTTTGCTGAAGTGTGTCAGAATTGAAAATTCTGGAAAACAAAGCTCATCAGTCCTTAAGCTTGTGCGAACTTCAAACTTTTATTTCTTGAGCTAGGAACGTCGGAATAAAGTTCCGTTCATTTTTTTTTGAAAACTGGAATGGAACACATATCAAATTTCAAAGGCTGGTTTTGATTCTATGATTTTTGACAAAAATCCAAGGTTATTGGAAAAGTGGGGACTGTTTTGCCCTATCTTCTATGAACAGAAATTTCACTTGAAAAATTAACTTGCTTTTGATTTGACTTTTGGATAACAGTCTTCTACAAAGTTGTTATGTTTCGCATGAAGTGTCCGACGGTGTAAAATTTTACATTTTTGGACTTTCTGAACTTCCAGACCGATTTTTCAAAGTTTCACGCGTAAAAGTGAAATTTTCCGATTTGAACCTGCTTGCTCTTTTAAGAGCTTAGGTCACTCTTTTGAGACTCTTGGGATATTCCAAACTTATTTTTATGGTGAAAACGTGCTCACTTATAATTTGGAACTTTATTTTGAATGTCGGTTTCGATAAACCGAAATACTTGAAAATTTGGCCTTGAGCATTTTAACTAGAGAAATCCTTGAGAAATTTCACTAAATTTCCTATTTGAAAGTTAGAACTTTAACTTCCATATTTATTATGGAAAAAGTGATTGTTTGGAAACTTTGACTTCGTAAGTTTAGAAAACATGATTTTTCACTTATATTCAAGCACTTGGGCTATTATTGAAAATTTTCTAGTACGAACACATTTTTCTCCTTTCTCGATTTCCGTGCCAAATTAAGCATTTTACTCTTCTTTTGAAATTGATAGTCCTTGCCACGATTTAACTCAGAAATGGGACTTTTAAATTCCTTTTGGTTATTATTCCAATGATTAAGTGAAAACTTCCTATTTCGATTTGTTTGAGCTTGAGGCTCTTGAGTGTGTGTATCTAAAAGATTTTCTTTTATTCGCCTTGATTGAGCATCTAGGTAATTCGTGATTGTGATTAATCTCAGGTGATCCAGAGGACACCGAGAAGCTCTTTTAATTTCTTGCTTTTGCTCTTGCTTTGCTCCGGATTACGGTGAGGGATTCCGAACTGTTTTGCACAAAAAAAATTGCTTCTCGAGCTTTTATAACCACTGTTTGTATAATTGCATATATATATACGTGATGTGACTTGATAAGTGCTCCTTACATGGCTAAGTGGTCAAATACTTGATGAATCTTGTTCACTTGAGTGATAAATACTTATTCCTAGGTAAGTGTGTACTTTATCGCACTCGACCTAACTGTTACTGTATCACTTAACTGTTCAATATTTCGTTGTTTATATGTTATTTGTGTATGCTGTAGGCCATGTGTACTTTATCACATCGGCTGAACAAGGCCTTTCCCCCCTTCGTTATCACCTATTCGAGCCAGAAGTGGACTCGGTCGGATAGGTTGATAACCCTGGGCACTGTATTTTGGTATACTCGAGTATTACCGCTGGAGGGATAAGGTGATGGCCAGTCAATCGAAGGAGTTACCGATGGGAGTTATAAGGACGGGAAGTGGACCGAGTACTGTATCCGTTTGTGTTTGCTTTACTATTAATATTGTAATTGCTCTCCTAGTTGACATTTCTCGGGTAAGACTCCTCATGAGCATTAATCTCTGAGACGAAGCAATCCTTGTAATGTTCTTCTAGTCGGACGAGCCACTATTTGTTAGACTAAAATTCATGACAATATATTTATATGGTCATTCATTCCAAATGTACGTTAGTGATTTTAAATGATTTATGAGTTGTACTCATAGTAAAGTTACCAGCAAAAGCACTACTTCTACATGTGTTTTCAAAGTAGCACTTACGCACTAGTTTATAAATACTTGATTTTCCCTTTTGAAACCTCATTGAGCTTCAGCTCACCCCCAAAAACATTTTAGTTCTATGCAGGACTCGAGAAGGATAGTTACTCAAGCACAAGGATTTGGAGTACCGTGGATTATCCTTTATTTGGGTTGTGATTGATTTTCATTGTGGAATGTAATGGTTATTTTGAAAGATTTGTGAACTTTATGGTATGATGTACTTGTGGTTGAAGTGAATGTAAATCTCATGATATTTTGGGGATTATACTTTTGTAAGAATGATTTGAATTGCAAACATAAGGATTGTACTTAAGTTATTATTATGAAAATTTAGATGAAGTATTGGACTTGTACTTTGATATGTTGGACTGGTGGATATAACATACTCCGTTTGAGTTTTTAAAAACCATCGATTATATTCATGCTTGAGTTTTGTAGTGAGTCCCGACGAGAGTTGGGCAGGCGGCTCGCCGAACCCTTTGGTTCGCCTTAGGGGGAGGTGAGGCTGTCACAGGTGGTATCAGAGTTTAGGCTCTAGATCTTTGTAGTGTATCTTAAACTTTAAGTATAGGATGCCGGACTGTGGAGTTTGATTGTCTAGTAAGTGGAATGTGATCTTAGTACTTGATGATTGATTGAGTAATATGTGAAGCTGCTGTAATAGTTAAAGTCGGCATGTAGTGATGTGTTAGCTGAAATAATTGTATTTATGGAACGATGTGTATGCAACCCCTATGTAATGAGTGTATTCTCGATAAAAGTAGTAGATCTAGTACCTGATATTTTGAGTGTATTCTCCTTATGTCTTCACAGATTTTCTTAGCATGGCGTTTTAGTCATAGCATTATTACGATTTCTCTCTAGATAGATTGTGGTATGAGGAGAATTTCGAGAACGAAATTTCTTTAAGGGGGAGAGAGTGTGAGGACCCGGAAATTTTCTTTATTTCATAATACGTTATTTTATTTTCTCGCATGCATTTTCGTCACTATACCCTATTATATTGATTTGTCCGAGATTTTTATAAGTAAATATAGTTTTTAAATCATTTTTCTAATATAAGTTAGATCATGAGAAATAAAGAGTGTATATTGGACGTGGGATCCGCTAGTGGCGTTAAGTGCGACAAATTCGGCCAATTAGATTAAGTTTTGTATACCAGAATTAAATTATTAGGTGTTAAGAGGTAATTAGAGATTACCTAGATGGATTAGTATTGGAGAGACAAGAGGATAAGTTTAAGCTTAAAAGGTGACAAGTGTCACCATCCTATTTAATCTTGGATTTTGACCATTTAACTTTACCTTTACCATATATCAAAATTGACCCAAAAATCATTCTTATTTCAAGCGTCTTTGGCCGGCTCTCTCTAGGAAGAAAAGAAAAGAAACCTTCAACTCTTTTGCTGATAATCTTGCTCAATCTCCCAATCCAACCGATTAAACTTGAATTCCTCCATAAAAACCCTTAGTTTAGTAGTAGTGAGGTTGGTTGTGAAGTGGTTTGGAAGAAAATGGTGCTAAGTTGGGTCTTTTCTTGGGTTGGCAAGGTAAGTAACTAAGGAACCTTTCCTTTGATTCTAATAATGTCTAATTAGTGGCTTTTGTGGCTAAATATGTTGATTTGTAGTAGGTCTGATGGTTGGAAGTGGAGTTTTGATGGATTTTTTATTTATTTTTGATTTTTCTGTTTTTATATAGTAATTATTGCTTAGTCATGGATTGATGGTTTGTTATAGTGTAAAATGAAGTTGGTATATGTTGGATATGATTGGTTGCGGAAAATTTCTGGTTTGGTGCGGAAATTCTAGTTTAGGGTTTCAATTTTCCCTGTTCTGTCCGATTTTATTTGAGTATGTTAGAGGCCGAATCAGGTTTAGGTTAAAACATAAAAGTTGTAAGAAATGATGTTTTATAGCTTCCTGTAAAATTTCAGCTCGATCGGAGCACCGTAGCATATAAAATGACCGTAATACCCTTGACTGCCCATAAGCCCTATTTTCGCGGACAGTTTTCTGTCTTCGTGGGGATTTCAATTTTTGCCTCTGAAAATGCATGATTTAGCTTTGTAGGTCTTCATAAGAAATGTAGGTATATGTTTTGGATTCGAAACGCCATAAGATACACCTCAATCGGACTTCAGTAGCCTGAGTTATTGTCGTTTAATCATAGTGCGGTTAACTAGTCTGATTGTGAGATGCTGGTTCTGTAATTTGGAATTTTGACCTGTATACACTATGAACTAGACTAAGTGGTCTTCATCAAAGTTGTAGGCCTTTATTTTCTCTTCGAAACGGTATACATTACACCCCAATCCGATAAGCGTGGCTTCGGTTGTGTCTGTTCCGCTAAGAGATGTCAAATCTGCTATTTAGCTTTTGTCCTTAAAACTTGATTTCGAGTTGCATTCCTAGACTTGTTTTGTATTTGAATGAACTTAAGCCTAGTTGAAGGGCTATTGTATTGAGATTTCTTATGTGTTGAATTGGACTGATTTGAGGAAAAACAATGAAGCCATAAATGGCTGGAATATAGCAAAATACAAAGGGCATGCTGCCCAAAATTTTAGGGCTAAGCGATTCCTTCAATTGAGTTGATCTTAGTAAAAATGAAGGGTTTTGAGGGTTGTTTGTAACCCTAGGACCAACTGTTATCTTTTTATTCAAAAGTCATAGTTTGATTCTTCTGTACTAGTACTGAACTTGAAAAGGCATACGACATATAGTCGGGGCTCATTTATGCATTTCATTTACTGGGTTTGTGGATGTACGAACTATAATTGTTTTATCTTAATTATTTTAGAGTTTCTTGGCGATTAAAGCCACTTTGGGTAAAAACCTTTTGAAGTATCTGTACTGGAACCGGTGAGTGTACCACTCCCCTGAATTGTTGTTTAATCAGTTCATCTATACTTGAAATGTGTGACATGCATAACTATGAACTCTGTTATTCTGAATAAGATGAGGGTGTACTTTATCACACTCGTTCTCTTGCCTGTACTGCATGAGTTGGAATCTATTACTTGTATTTGTTATGTACTTGAACTCGTTACTTGCGCCTGTTATGAGATCGTTTGGAAGTGTGTCCAACGATCTTCCTGTTAATTTGAGCTCAACCTCATGGGGAGTTAATTAAGTCGAGTCAGCAAGGGTTTGGTCGAGGTAATTGACAACTCATGGGTGCCTGTTCCTGGGGAATCTTTGGGTATTGAGACTCTTGATTCCGGTATACTCGAGTATTATCATTTCTGTTCCTGTTCTTGTTTGGCGTTCGGGCCCGATAAGGGGTATGGTTGGTGGACAGGATTTGGCGTTAAAATGGTGTTCTACTGGACTGGTTCCTTTATTTGAATGTTGACAGAGGGTCAACTAGGTTGGATCAAATATTGCAACGGGGATTGGGCTCTTGAGAGCCCTCTGTATCCTTTAAATTGTGGTGTTCATTCATTTCTTGTATTTGATGTGTATATGTGCTCTAAAAGTGATTTCTCATGATTTCTACTATTTATACTTTTGGTACCTCATTGAACTTTTAGCTCACCCCGTCCCGTTATCTTTGTTTTCCTTATAGGAAACCATCTTTTGGAACTTTGATGTTTTTGAATACTGAGTTGGGCTAGTTAGAAATTCTTTTGCTCTTTTGGGTATAGCTTCTCGACAATTTGGAAACCCTAAATGTATCTTTAAAAAAAAAATTTCTTTTGGTGTGTAAACTTACTAATATGTATATTGTACAGTGTTTCCTTATCGTTATATGTCTGTGGGAACGTTGTCCTAAAGATTGATTGTATCTTATAGTTCGGTTCAATTGGGTTCTGAATGTTATTTCCTCGAAGTTCTTCTGAGCGTTTGGTAGGGTTTCCGTTCGTTCCAGATCTGAGTCCCGGCGAGAGTTGGGCAGGCGGTCCGCCGAATCTTTTGGTTCACCTTAGGGGGAGGTGGGGCTGTCACAGTGTGAGCCTTATAAAGTGACTGAATTTGGTTAGACGATCCACCACCACCAAAATAGTTTCAAAGCCTTGAGATAAGGGAAGCTGTTCAATGAAATCCATGTAGATGTGTGACCAGGCCTGCTGAGGTACTGGGATAGGTTGCAGTAGTCCAGGCTATGGAACATTTTCATGCTTATTGCGCTGGCAAATGTCACACGACCGTACAAATTGAATGACATCTCTTTTAATCCCAGGCCAGTGAAATAGAGCTTGTATTCTCTGTAAGCACCTTCTCTGACCAGAGTGTCCTCCCACTGCTGAGTCATGTAATGCTTTGATCAGGTTGTTCCTGATATTGTTGGCAGATCCCACGTATAGTTTTTCTTTGAATTTTAGCAACCCCTGGTCCAAGTGATAATCTGAATCAGCATTGGAGTCTATGAGCAGCTGAGCTATTTTCTGCTGAGCTCCTGGATCACCATTATAACTCTCAACTAGTTCTTGCATCCAAGCTGGTTGTACTGTGGAAATGGCACACATGTGGTATGCTGAGATATGGTTGGCTTTGGTCTCCCCTACTTTCCTTCTAGATAGAGCGTTAGCTACCCCATTGTCTGAACCTTTCTTGTACTGTATTTCATAATCTAATCCTAGTAACTTGGTGAGCCACTTATGCTGTAAGGGATGTGTAAGCCTCTGCTCCAGTAGATGCTTGAGAGCCCGATGATCAGTCTTAATGACAAAATGATGGCCAACCAAATAATGCTTCCATTTGGTGACTGCTAGCACCAGGGCATAAAGTTCCTTTTCATACACAGATAGCCCCAAGTTCTGAGGAAATAAAGCCTTGCTGAGGAATGCTATAGGATGTCCTTGCTGCATCAGAACTGCTCCAATGCCTACACCACAGGCATCAGTTTCTATTACAAAGGGAAGCTCAAAGTAGGGAAGCTCCAATGCCTTCTTGAGGTCTTCAAAAGCTATCTGAGCTTTATGGTCCCATACAAAGCCTTCTTTCTTCAGTAGCTGTGTCAAGGGCTTGCAGATCACTCCATACCCCTTGATGAATCTTCTGTAATACCCAGTCAATCCTAGGAAATCTCTCAATTCTTTGACTGTGCTAGGGGTAGGCCAGGTCCTGATGCAGTCAACCTTGGTTGAGTCCATACTCACCCCAGCATCAGAAATCACACGTCCCAAATACTCTATGGATGTCTGAGCAAATGAACATTTAGACTTCTTGCAGTAAAGTTGATTATTAGTCAAGACCTTAAGAACAGCTTGCAAATGTTGTACATGTAACTCTAGAGTGGGGCCATAAACCAGGATGTGATAAAAAAAAACTAGCACAAACTTCCTCAAAAATGGCTGAAATATCCTGTTCATCAGGGACTGAAACGTGGTTGGTGCATTAGTCAGCCCA